GTGGGGGCCGCGCGTCCGGGGGATGCAACAGGGGCTTGCTCGCACTTGTTCCCAGCCTTCTTCTAGGAAACGGGGAGCAACTCGCCGTAGCGGCGGGCGGATCTCGCTCACCGCTCCCCTCCACCCCCCTCGCCGAGGGTACCGGCAGCGACAACCCTCCCGCACACCGAACGGATTGAACAGATTCGCAAACAGAAAACGAGAGTCATCAGAGGGACGTCCAATACTCACCGCTTTTGCTGTATGGAGCAGCAGTCCTGCAAGCAGGGCTCCGGAGAACCTGCGGAAGGGAAGCGACGTATTAATCCTTTGCACTGATCAGTCCACTGACGGACACGCGCGTTCGCAAGGGCAGGCCGGCGGCCGGGCGCGCGGCCGGGCGCGCGGCCGGGCGCGCGCGGCGGGCGGCTGCAGCTCACGCACCACATGTCTCCGTGCTGGCCGCGGCGGGCCTCCCGGCAGAGCCTGGCCGAGCCCGTCGCTGGCTTGCTGGCAGGGCACCACGCACCGCGCTACCGCCTCTGGAGCAGATGGAGCCGCACTGAGGACCCAGCGAGTCGCCCGCCTAGCAGCCGCCCGCTCAGCCCCGGCCGACGGCTCCCCGCCAGCGCCGCCCCGGCCCTGCGCCCCTCCGCACCGCAACGTAGTCCCGCCCCGTCGCGGCTCTGGCGAAGGGCCGCGGGGGAGCGGGCGCGGGAGCGGGGGCCCCGCGGAGGAATCCGGCCGCCGGCTCTGGCGGGCCCCGGCGGTGGTGGTGGAGGCCCTCGCGCCCTGCCGTGCGCCCCGGCCGCGCCCCCGCCCCGCCCGGGGCCCCGCCCCGTCCTGCCTCCGCATGGCTGTGCGTTCAGTACGCTGGTGACCGCCTCACCCGCCAGGCATGCGGGGTTCTGCGTGCTGCGGCGCGCCGGGGTGCGGTCCACGGGCCCGACCCGGCCAGCGGCCAGCCGTCAGGACGCCGTCGAGGACGCCGTCGAGGACGCCGTCGAGCGCGGGCATCATGGGCTCCGCGGCCGCGCGCTCGGCGCTGGCCGTCGCCGTGGCCATCCTGGTGGTCGGCGCGCAGCTGCGGACGGCGGAAGCCGCGGTGAGTATCGGCCGTGAGGCCCCCGCTGTCACCTGTCATGCATGTGTTGTTGTTGTTGTTGTCCGCGACCCTCTCGCGCGCGCTCCGGCCCGGCGGGGCACCGTGACACTTGCGCGAGTTTCGTCCCACCGCGGGCCTGGGGTGGGTCCCCCCGCGCCCTCGCGGCCACTTGTTGCACTTGGCGCCGCGCCCGGCCGGCCGGCCGGCTCCGCGGGCCTGGCCTGGCGCCGCGCCACGCCCCCGCCGCGGCATGGTGTGTCTACCGGGGAGCGATCGGCTGAATGATGCGATTCGCTACTGTACGCTGAGTGCCCCAAGGCATCTTGCCGCCTCGCCGGCAGTGCAGTGTGCGGGGTCGCTCGCCTCGTCCATTTCCCGCCCCGCCCTCCTTCCCGAAACTTCCTCATTTCCATTCAGGGGCGGCGACAGCTGATGCGGTGCGGGGGCGGTGCGGTGCACGTACACAGCCAGAAAAAGAGGCGCCCAGGGGCGTCGTTCTTGCCGAGACCACGTGGTGCGAACATGTGATGACTCCCGCCACCTAAATGTTTACCCCCCC